TATTATTATTATTATTATTATTATTATTATTATTATTATTATTATTATTATTATTAATTCTGTTTTCCCAATATTTGGGGTTTTTTTGCTTATCTGTAAGATTTTTAAATCTTACTTTAGTTTTTTTTTGTTTATTTTCAGTCCTGCCATTTCCCAATAGTTTAGGAATCATCTCCAAAGGTTCCTCTAATCTAAAATGAACACCAAATCATCAGGAAATGCTTGCAATTTATATGTTTCGCCTTTTATTTCTAGTCCTTTGAGTTCTATATCTTGTCTAATATTTCTGTTTAAGACTTCCAAAGTAAAAATAAATAACAATGAAGATAATGGACATCCTTGTCTTGTTCCTTTACTTATCTCAAAGTTCTCAGTATAATCTCCATTCACAATCACTTTCGCTGTTTGTTTATTATATATCATTTTTATCATATTTATAAAATTCTGTCCAGAGTCCATTATTTGTAATTGCTGAATCATAAACATTATCAAACGCCTTTTGAGCATCTAGAAATATTAGTGCCATTTGTTTCCCTGGATGTAATTCATAGTATTCTAATACATCCATTATCACTCTTAGATTGTTTTTAATTTGTCTCTTTGGTAAGAAACCATTCTGGTCTGAATGTATAAATTCATTTAAGTATCTTTTCAGTCTCTCAGCCATTATTGAAGTAAAAATTTTATAGTCCACATTCAATAATGATATCGGTCTATAGTTTTTTACCTGTGTCAAATCTGAGTCTTCTTTTGATATTAAAGTAATATTTGCTTTTTGTTTTTTGTATGATAGGTAAGCATTAACTCAAACTCATATTTATAGTTAATGCTGGTATATCAAGCTGGTGTATCTAGCCAGTTTGGGGTCTAATGCTTCATTAAAATCCCCTCCTTTACCTCATCATAAATACACTCATTCAATTACTGAAGAAATTAATAAAACATAATAGGAGAATCTAAATTACATCCATTAACATTAACCATAGCTATTACAAGTCCTGCTATTTTAGCATTTAAAATTAAATAACATCCATTTACATCAGTAATGTATTGTACATCAATTGGAAATCCTTTTTGAAGCAAAATGGACACACTTTTAGTTTTTGTCAAAGTATCTGTGAGATAGATCAGTCCCATCCAATCCTTTATTAATATTTATCTTGTTCCATTAAATCAGTGGTTCTCAACCTTTTTAATGCCGCGACCCCCAACCGGTCGTAAGTTGAGGACTAAATCGGTCGTAAGTCGAGGACTAAACTGGTCGTAAGTCGAGGACTAAACTGGTCATAAGTCGAGGACTACCCAACCGGTCGTAAGTCGAGGACTTTCCCTGCCCGGGAGCGCCACGCATGTGTGGTTCCGCCCCCTGTGCCGGCCGAGGCGTAGCTGGCAAGCGGCAGAGATGGAGCAGGCCGACCACCAGCTGGCCCAGCCCAAGGGAGGTAAGACACCCGCCGGAAAAGGGGGAAAAAATGGCGGACAGTCTTGCTTGGCGACCCCCGTGAAATGGTCGATCGACCCCAAATGGGGTCGCAGACCCATAGGTTGAGAACCGCTGCATTAAATGAGTTTCTATAAACAAGCAGTTTCTGCCTGTAACAATTTTAAATATGCTAAGATTACATTTTTTTGTTTTTTAATTAACTTCATCTATTAGTTTTTATCAATATTCTCACAGTGTCAATTCATTTTGTAACCTATACCCAGTGCTCTTTTTCAAAAAAAAAAACTCACACACGTCATACAACTCGCCTTGCCTACCCTACAAGGTTCCATCCAAAAAGGTGCCGGAACTCCGTTCTGGTCGTTCTATGAGGAAAAAAGCCTTGCCTATACCACTTAATAAACATCTAACAGTAAACTTTTTAATATTTAAATGTTTATCATATTCTCTTGTATCGCTCATTGACATAGAACCACCCTAAAAACTAGCATTAAAGTAATTATTCTATTTTAAGTTATGACGGCCTAAGAAAAAATGACTTAAGGATTTGTACTCACACTTATGACTGACACACACATACACATACACATACAAATGTGATTGCAGCTTGAGCATTTGGCAACCAACTTTATAATCAGTTGCACTGGCCATTGATCAAGATTTCCTATTTGGGGGGGGGCTGATTCCTGGCAATAATGCCCATTGGGGAAGCTGAATTTGTTTAATGATCATGTTATTCACTTAAGAACCATGTGATTTGCTTAATGGATGCTGTAAAAATTCTCATAAAATTGGGCCTGATTGCAAAAACCTATAATGGAAAATCTGGTCCCAATTGTGTCTGTAAATCGCGGACTATATTTATTTCAAAATGTATAACTTGGGTGGAGTGAAGGTCTCTGTCAGACCTGCCCCCAGTTTGGTTTCTTAGTAAAGGAAGACCCTCGACTCCATTTGTAGTGAAAGTTACTAAAAGCCAAGTGGACTACAGTATAGCAAAGCCAGAACTGAAGTTCGTGTGCCAAAATTTCCCAGTTAACATTCCCTGTCCATTTCCTCTCCTCCCCTATGTCAACTGTCCAGTTGGCATTTCCAGGAAAAGAAACTTCTGGGACATGATTTTACCAAGAGTATAATACTTTACTGAAAATTTACATTGGCACAGAATTTTACATTGGCACAAAATTTACATTGGCACGCAAAACCAGCTGTCATGGTTCTGACAGACAGAGATGAATAAAGCAGAACGCCGAGGCTTGCAAATTCCTCAAAGAACATGTTTATTAGTTACAAAATATCGGCATGGTCAAAAGTGAAACCATATCTGGATACACAAGCAACAATTTTCCAATACAAAGTTAAATGTCCCACCCACAAAAGCTATGCAAGCAACTACATTACCCAGTATGATTATTTGGCAGGCTTTTTATGAAATGCCCAGTCCCTAGTCTCGGGAGGAGCCGATGACCTTGGTTCCCATGGGACAAAAGATTATTTTGACTAGCGAAGCACCTGGGCAACACCTCTCCCTCCGTTTTATGTGGCAACCTAGAATGGGAAGGAAAATGGTTGCAGCCTTGGTCATTTGTAGAGTTGACACCAGCTCTGGCTTTCCCGCTCAAAAGCTTGCTTAATTAAACAATAGATTCCCTCACCCCCACCCACTGGGTGTTCACATTGTCCAATAGTAATACTTCTTCTTGTTATGGGAAAAGTCCACTTCTCCATCGAGCACCTGCGTTAGTGATCTTGGTGTTATCAACACCAAGCTCTCAAAAGATGCCTCGGTTGCCTACATACCATCTCTCTCACCTTTGCATCCCATAATCTTGTCAAGCTATGAGCAAGGGAGAAAATGTAGGTGAAAGGGCGAATCAGTCTTTTCACCATGGCCCCTTATTCTCCAATTATATTTGAGTAAACTGTTTTTGCAACGATTTTGCATTATTCTCCCAGGGTAA